AGTTTAGCGATGCGGCTGAGCTCCTCGACTGGGTGGAGCTGCTTCGGTTGCGGGTAGATATCTATACTCTTGACTATGATGCTATCCTCACTGCCATGTATGCATTGCCTACTAGTGATGAGGGTGACTGTTACCTGTGTGTTCCGCCTGACCCGGGCATTGAAGCTGCTGCTCTAGGTGCTGGTGAGGCTGCTGCTCTAGGTGCTAGTGCGTCTACTGCCCCAGGTGCTGCTGAGTCTGCTCTCTCAGGTACCACGTCGGCTCAGGCCTTACACACCTTCACTCTTGACTCGGGTGCTTCCTCCTCCTTCTTTCGAGACCGCACCACGCTTACGCCGCTTAGTCGGCTGGTTGCAGTCTCCCTGGCGGACCCCTCTGGGGGTCCTTTCCTTGCTTGCTTCTCCACTGTCTTACCATGTCTGGCAGCCCCCTCTGGCACCCTGTCAGGTCTCTACCTCCCCTCGTTCTCTACGAACTTTGTGAGTGCTGCTGACCTACAGGATGGGGGGGTTGACCAGTTCACTCCTGCGAGTCAGCGGGTGACCCACTGTACGTGTGCTCGGACGGGCCGACACTTGGCCACGTTTATCTGTCGGCCTGGGTCGAGCCTGTACACACTAACTACTGAGTCTCCTCCGGTTGCTGAGTCTATTCAGGTAGCTGCGTCGAGTCAGGTGTTTGCTGCAGCGTCCAGGTCTGGTCCTGAGTCTGCTTCCTGCTCTTGCCGTCTCCTGTCCCACCAGAATCTCCTTTGGCACCATCGCCTCGGTCACCCCTCCTTGCCTCGTCTTCGAGGCATGGCCTCCCGTGTCCTTGTCTCTAGTCTCCCCCGGTCCCTCCCTCCCCTCCCTCCGGGGCCTGCCTCTACCTGCATTCCCTGCGTTGAGGGGAGGCAGCGCACCGCCCCTCACTCCTCCGAGTTTCCTCCGACAGAGGCTCCGTTGCAGACTCTTCACATGGACGTGTGGGGCCCCGCCCACGTCCGTGGCCAGGGTCACGAGCGTTACTTCTTGTTGGTGGTTGACGACTACTCACGTTACACCACGGTGTTCCCCTTGCGCAGCAAGGGTGACGTCACTGAGGTGTTGATCGACTGGATCCGCGCAACTCGTCTCCAGCTCAGAGAGAGTTTCGGCTCGGACTTTCCTGTTCTGCGTCTGCACTCTGACAGAGGCAGGGAGTTTTCCTCTGCCCGTCTGGGAGCCTTCTGTCGTGCACAGGGCATCCGCCAGACCTTCACGCTTCCGGCCTCTCCACAGCAAAATGGGATTGCTGAGCGCCGCATTGGCATGCTCATGGACGTCGCTCGTACGTCCATGATCCATGCGGCTGCTCCCCATTTTCTGTGACCGTTTGCGGTTCAGTACGCAGCGCATGAGCTCAACCTTCAGCCCCGGGTCTCCTTGCCAGAGACCTCCCCCACCTTGCGGTGGACGGGGAAGGTTGGCGATGCATCTGCGTTTCGGGTCTGGGGATCTCGGGCGTTTGTCCGCGACTTGTCTGCGGACAAGCTGTCCCCTCGTGCTATTCCCTGCGTCTTCCTTGGCTTCCCCCCTGACGCGCCTGGTTGGTAGTTTTACCACCCCACCTCGCGCTGTCACCTTGGACGAGTCGGTGCCTTACTACCCTCTCTTCCCCTACCGCACTGCGCCCCTCCCCCTGCCGCTGCTCTTCCTTGCGCCAAGTCCTCCCCCGGTAGACCCCCTCCCCCCCCAGGGTCCTGCCCCGTCAGGTGTGTCCCAGGTAGACACAGTCGAGCCTGTCGAGGAAGCTGTTGACTCTGGTGCTGCTAGGGGTGTTGAGCGTGCGGGTGCCGGGTCTGGGGGTGCTGGACCTGGGGGTGCGAAGCCTGGGGGTGCTGAGTTTAGGGGTGCTGAGCCTGGGGGTGCTGAGTCTAGGGGTGCTGAGCTTGGGGGTGCTGAGCCTGGGGTTGCTGAGCCTGGGGGTACGGAGCCTGGGGGTGCGGAGCCTGGGGGTGCTGGGTCTGCTCGTGTGGCCTTTGGCGGTGCTTCGTTGAGGCGGGAGCTACTCTCTCTGCAGGAGCTGCGCGAGTGGTTTGCCTCGCGCTGGAGTAAGAGGTACTACTGTTGCTGCTGATCCTGGAGGTGTTCGTACTGGCGGTACTAGAGCTGCTGAGACTGGGGGTGCTGCTGGGGCTGCTGGAGCTGGTATTGCTGGAGGTACTGCTGGAGCTGCAGGCGGTACTGGAGCTGACGGTCATGCTGGAGCTGGAGCTGCTGGAGCTGGAGTTGCTAGGGGTGTTGGCGCTGGTGGTGCTGCTGGCGCTGTTGCTTCTGAGGGTGCTGGAGTTGGCGCTGTTGGAGCTGGAGGAACTGCTGGCGCTGGTGCTGCTACTGGGGGTACTGGTGCTATCCCTGCTGGTTTTGGAGGCACTGCGCGGCCGCGGCCGTACTTCGTTCTGCTCCTTGAGCAGGTTCTTCGTCTCCCGCCTTCTACTGGTCCTTCTCCTCCCTTAGAGTGTCCACAGTTACAGCCCGCCTCCCCCCTACTTGGTCCTTCTCCCTACATTGGTCCTACTGGAGGTCTTGCTGAGCGTTCTGAGCCTATGTCTCTTCCTGCGTCGCCTGTTCGTGCTGCTCGCACTAGTCGTCGTGCTCCGCGTCCGCGTCCTCTTGCGGTCCTAGGCACACACTAGATGGCACTGCGTCCTTCCATTGCTCCTCTGCGTGTCCCGTTGCCATCTCCTCCAGAGTCCTCTCTTCCTGTCCATGCTGACCCGGAGTCTGACTTTCTTCGTGCTGCCAGTCCTACTCTCACGCGTCTCCTGGCTACTGGTGTCACTGACCCTTCCTTTGAGTCCACTGCTGCGTCTGCCTTGGTTGCTGAGCTTCTCGACTTTGCTGCTCGCTGTCGTCTAGACTACGCTACTAGTCTTGTTGCTGAGTCTGAGTGTGTCTGTCCTCCGTCCGTCGGGGGTGAGTGTGCTCTTAGCACGGACGTCCTTGAGGACAGGCAAGAGGAGTTCCTGTGTTTTGCTGCTGCTCTGCCTCATCTCGTGTCCACGCTGATTGCCCCTGAGGGAGACCCGGATGCACCAGACATCCCGACTCCTCGATCGTACGCTGAGGCGATCGAGGGTCCCTACTCCTCTCAGTGGAAGTCAGCCATGGACGCAGAGATGGCTTCCTGGAAGTCCACAGGCACCTACGTCGACGAGGTTCCCCCACCTGGGGCGAACATCGTCAGTGGCATGTGGATTTTTAGGGTGAAGCGGCCGCCGGGTTCTCCGCCTGTCTTCAAGGCGCGTTACGTGGCTCGAGGCTTTAGTCAGCGGCAGGGAGTTGACTACTTTCAGACCTTCTCTCCCACCCCGAAGATGACCACTCTTCGGGTGCTGCTGCACATAGCCGCTCAGCGTGACTACGAGCTTCACTCTCTTGACTTCAGCACAGCTTTCTTGCAGGGCAGCCTGCACGAGGAGATCTGGCTGCGCCGCCCACCTGGCTTCACTGGGTCGTTTCCTCCTGGTACCCAGTAGAGCCTCCGACGGCCAGTCTACGGTCTCCGCCAGGCGCCCCATGAGTGGCACGACACACTGAGGACTACACTTGCGGCTCTTGGGTTTGCTCCTTCTACAGCCGACCCGTCGGTGTTTCTGCGCACCGACACCTCTTTGCCGCCGTTCTACATCCTCGTGTACGTCGACGACTTGGTCTTTGCTACTGCTGACACTGCTGAACTCGCCCACGTGAAGTCCGAGCTGCAGAAGAGACACACGTGCACACACCTGGGTGAGCTGCGCAGCTACCTTGGCTTGCAGATCACCCGGGACAGAGCACAGCGCACCATTACCGTGACTCAGTTACACATGGTGCAGCAGGTCCTTCAGCGCTTTGGCTTCACGTACTCCTCGCCTCAGGCCACTCCTCTGTCTACTCGCCACTCGCTCTTAGCTCTGCCTTCGGATGAGTCCGTAGAGCCGAGTGGCCTGTACCCAGAGCTTGTTGGCTGCCTCATGTACCTGATAACCTGCACACGACCTGACCTAGCATACCCTCTTAGCATCTTGGCACGCTATGTTGCTCCTGGGAGACACCGACCAGAGCACATGGCTGCAGCGAAGAGGGTGTTGGGCTACTTGTGTAGTACGTCGTGCATGGGGCTAGTGCTTGGAGGGCGATGTCGAGTGGTCCTCACAGGTCACGCTGACGCTTCTTGGGCTGACGACTAGGCTAAGCAGCGGTCGTCACAGGGTTACACCTTCAGCCTTGGTTCCGGCTCTGTCTCGTGGCGGTCTACCCGCTCGTCTTCTGTTCTCGGCTCCAGCTGTGAGGCTGAGATCTACGCGGGGGCCATGGCTGCACACGAGCTACGCTGGCTCACCTACCTGCTGACTGACCTGGGAGAGCCGCCTCGTTCTCCTCCAGTTCTGTACGTAGACAACAAGGCCATGCTGGCCTTGTGTCGGGAGCACAGACTGGAGCACAGAACGAAGCACATTGCTCTTCGCTACTTCCTTGCTCGTGAGCTGCAGCAGCGTGGTCAGCTGTGCCTTGCTTAAGTGGCCTCTGAGGCTAACACTGCTGATATCTTTACCAAGGCACTTCCGCCTTGTGATCATCAGTGCTTTTGTTCGATGCTAGGTCTTGTGCCTACTTGGCCTCACTTGCTCACTTCTTGACCTTGCTTGTACTGTGATCTTTCTATACCTGCACTTGCTTGTTTACCTTTATATATGATCTTGCATGTGAACTGGCCTTGTGGCCTTGCTCTTGTGCTCGGACTGTGTGGTGACGTTGAGATCCACCCTGAGCTTGCTTTGCTTTGCTTGACTGGTCTTGTGACCTCTTGTTCTTCCCCACTTTGCCTATGGGGGTGTGTCAAACTCATATGCTATAGTCTGTGTAGGCTGTAGTGGGGTAGACAATATGGGGTACAACTCTTTTAGGTTCTCCTACTTGTACCCACCTGCTTTCTAGTTCATTCATCCCTCATTCTTTCACACGACATGCATGGCAGCTACGAGCCACTGAGCGTCGATGACCCGAAACATATCGGCTGAAGTCCCTCTGAGAGGGGGCTGGTGCAGTATGTGGAGAGGGCTGCGCTGAGCAAACGGGAGGCATCGACCATGGGTCGTGGTGTGGGAACCGGCAATGTTCTGGGTCACGAGGTCGAGGAGGCTCTGGCAGGGTCGCACTCGGGCGGGAACGGACCCACAGATGGTGGCGAGGAGGAGCACGAGGAGGAGGAGGAGGGAGGGGAGCAGGATGGTGGTGAGGAGGAGTAGGAGGAGGAGGAGGAGGAGGAGGAGGAGGAGGAGGAGGAGGAGGAAGAGGAGGGCGTGGAGGAGGAGGAGGAGGAGGGCGTGCATGAGGACGACGACGTGATAGTCATCGCGGAATAGGAGGCTGGTGTACAGTTCTCTGGTGAGAAGGTTGCGGATAAGAGCGGAGGCAGCGGACCAAGGTCGGGCAAGAAGGCGCGCGCGAGCGGTGGCTCGACCACGACTAGGATGGTGTCAAAGGCGGCCATGGACCAGCTGAAGGCGGCAGAGAGGGAGAACAAGAAGCTGAGGGAGGAGAAGCTGGTGGCGGAGAAGAGGCCGGACGATTAGATGGCCTGGATGGACGCGCTATTCTACGTGGTTAATATGGCTGTCGAGAAGATCTCGTCGGTCACTAAACGCATGTCCACTCTCGAGATGACGGAGGGGGCGAGCGTCACAGAGGCGGTAGAGTCTGTAAAGCAGGTCACGAGGATGCGATTGAGGGCCGCGCCTTCGTCATACATCACATGAACAAGAGGTGGCTGCCCATTTGACGCCTTGCACGTAGCAGCTGCTGGTCTGAGGGGTAGGCCACGGGAAGACGACGAGCTGTTGTTGCGAGGTGTGGCAGATTGTTTGGGCGAAAAGATAAAAATCGTCGTGTCTGCTGAGGTGAAGGCCGTCATGGAGAGCGCGGCACAGGGGATCACCGCTGCCGTTGTACGCAGCCTCCTCCTCCTCCCCCCCCCCCCCCCACGCCTCCACATCTACTCGAAAGCTGTCCAAGAGCTTCGGGACGACGTGGTGAAGGCGGTCACCTCCGCGACCCAACAGTGTGAGAGTACGAGGACTTATGCTTGCTTTGCTAGCTTGCCTAGAATTTATTATGCTATATCTAGTTTGGATTAATTTTATCATGCATAGATATGCTTGATTTCCTAGGTAAGGTGCTTTCCTATATTTTATTATAGTTATAGCACCGAGTTAGGTTGCGTGCACCGAATTCCAGGCTTTTCGGTTGCCACCGAATTGCCTTCTACCGAATTCGGGAAGGCTCCTTTCGGGACGCTTCGCAACCCTCGGAACCTTCGTGTAACACCTGGTTACTAGGCCTTGTGTCGAGACTATATATAGCCTCGTGTTGTACCCGGGTAAATCGTTCAATTCAAACCCACTTTTTTGAGCTCGATCCTAGATCCTCACAAACAGGGCTTTGGTGCTGCCGGGTTAAGCTTCCTCCAGAATGCTCTCGCGTCGGTGATGCACAGAGGTCACTCAACCACCGAAGAGCGAGGGCTGCTGCCAAGGCACAGTGGGAAAAGGGTCGCTCACGACAATACCCTAACAGGCGAGCAGGCCGACGGCGGTAAGCGAAGCAGAGGACCCGCGGTGAAACACAGTGTGGGCGTGACAACCCTGGGCGCTACATATATTTGTGTTCCCAACGTCGACGACTTGCTGAAACAGGCAGGCCCGAAGTTCAACTGCACGTCGATGGTTGACAGGTTGCCAACCTACGACAGGGTCCAGATTCGGTGGTCGGGAAGCACGGTGGGCAGCCCGTGGCGGAGCGGCCACACAACGCGCGATCGAGCGGCGTCACGGCGAAGCTGGCCGACGAGCTCCTGGGAGGGGCATCCGTGGTCGGAAAGTAAGGCGGGCAGCCAGTGAGGGACCACCATCCCCAGCCCGAGGCCAGTCCGGGGAATGCACAAGATGTGCGATCGGGCGGCGCCACGGCGCAATTGGCCATCGAGCTCCTGCAAGGGGCATTCGTGGTCGAAAAGAAGGGCGGGCAGCCAGTGGGGGACCAGCATTCTAGCTCGAGGCCGGTCCGGCGACTGCACAAGATGCGCGACTTGCCGGCGCCACGGCGCAGCTGGCCGTCGAGCTCCTACGCCCCGTAGAGATGGTCGGCCAGCAGGGTGGGCAGCCTGTTGCGGGCCAGCGTCTTCATGCATCGACGAGTCCGGCGACAGCACATGACGCGCGACCCACAAGCGTCACAGCTCTTCTAGCCGACGAGCTCTTACGCACAGCAGCAGTGGTCAGCTAGTAGGGCGTGCAGCCACAGGCGGGCCAGCATCCCCACGCCACGACGAGTCCGGCGAGTGCCAGTATCGCGCGACTAAGTGACGTCACGGCACAATTGGCCGGCAACTCTTTCCGCCCCGTACTACCCAGCGGTGTGGTCGAGACAGCCACATCGGCGATGGCACCAGCTCCGCCCAATGCGGGTACTGCCCACGAGACCCCCGGCGTAGTTGAAATGACTGTGTTGCTTCCGAACCCGCCTCCGCCCAACAATGGTTACTGCGGTTGCAGCCAGTTCCGCCATTCTTGGGGCCGGTATGGTTGTCGTGGAACCGATCCCTATGCCTCCGGAGCCACAAGCGCTCGCAAATCTAGTCCCTCAGGACCCATCGTTTGAGGAGTACATGAAATGGCTCGTGGCACAGAAAACTGCAGAAATTCCTCTGGCACCTAGCAACCAGGCGGTCGACCAAGGAGCAGAGGCAGTGACGTCACGGCGTTGACTGCTGAGACGGGCATCGCAACGGAAGAGATGGCTTTGCGGGGAACGTCGTGCAAGGACGATGGGGTGGACCCTGAAATCATCGCCAGTCTCGTGATGCCGGACCCTGAAATCGAGGTCATGCGGGAGGAACGGGTCGCAACGGCAGCAGCTCCCACTGTGGAAATACAACAGGGTACACCAGCCGCCTCGTCTGCACTTGCCTCTGCCTCCGCGACTGGCGCCAAATCCCCCCCTACCTAGAACCGGTGAGGTATGCGATGGGAAGCAAAAGCGCAACCAAGGCGAAGGCCGGCTCTTCCAAGGGAACGGCCAACGCGGCCCCGCAGGGTCAGAAGGGTTCAGGCGTTTGCGTTGACAAGGATACGGTGCTGGCTGTGGTGGAGATGAAGTTTGGTAGAATGAACCGTTACATTTGCCGGTTGATAGACAAGACGGAGGCTGGCTACTGCAACGTGGTCGCCGTGTCTGTTTTCGAAGGCTACGTAAGTGACGTGATTCTCGTCGAGTTCGCTGGTGCCAAGGAGGATGTGATAAAGCAGTATAGGTCGGAATCGGATGTGGCGCAATTGATGCCGGCCGGCATATGGACGGTCATGTGGAGCCGTGCTGCCAACGCTTTCCGCGACAGGTACGCTTGGCGAATGCTCAATTAGGTGCTCGTTTCAGTCGGTACGCGAGGGTCGGTCGGTGACGGTGTATCGTATTGCTTTGTTCCGCAGGTTCCAAGAGGTGGCCAAGGAGTACAACACGATCTCCAAGGACCGCGCAGCTCTCTCGGAGGCTCTTTTTCCGGCGCTGTGGTTCTACAACCCTTCGGAGTCGATCGAAGCCGAGAAGGCCGCGAAGACCAAGATGGCGACCGACATGATCACATGCGCTGCGTTGTGTGCCGCATTTGCACCTCGGGCCGCGAAAGTCACGGGCGTCAAGCCGGAGCGGTTATCTGGGATCTTTGCCGGGACAGCATGCGCGATGTGGTGCTTTTCGGAGACCAATGCCACGGCGGAGGCCGCGGGCGGTGAAAAGGGGGGCGGCAACCACTATGCGCGAAGCGTCCTTTGAGTTCCCGTGTTGGTGTAAGAGCGTGTCATCGAGGTGGTGCTTCAACGTACGTCATCCCGGGTGCCCTCCATGGGGAGGTCGCCGACACGGTGACGAAGGTCCTGCAAGAGGCTGTCAGAATATTATCTTATGTTCTAGCCTGTAGTGGGGTGCTCTATAGCGAGTACAACCCTTATAGGGTTTGCTATTTGTATCCTCATTCTTGCTAGTTCAATCCTCTTTCTTTCTTCAAACTTTGTCAGAGGCTGTAATGCGCTCACTGCCTGAGGACAGGTACGAGAAAGATCACGACGAGTGATCGCCCATGTCAAAATTGAGACCCTCACCTTCTGGGGGGACTGCCCTGTCGGTGGATCTAAACTCAAAGCTTGAGGCGTCGTTTTGCCTATTGACGCCAAAATGAGGACGATCATTCGGGATAGGGGGGCAAGGGTGCAGCACAAAGGGAAGCAGGCTGTTAGTGTAGCGAGTGAGTGCGCCCATAACCCCCCAGGCCAACGTGCCCGTGACCCTTCCCTAGGATCAATCGGGGATCACCAGTGGACCTCTGACACCCCCCCGCACTGGGATGCCCAAAGTGCACACACTGGGATTCGAACCCGAGACCTTCGCTCTGATACCATGTCAGAATCCCAGTCACTAGACCACTGGGATAAAAGGGCTTGTTTGTGTAGCGGGTGAGTGCGCCCATAACCCCCCAGGCCAACGTGCCTGTGACCCTTCCCTAGGATCAATCGGGGATCACCAGAAGACCTCTGACACAGGCGGCCGACCTTTAGGCTATTGAACGCTGTCGCGACTGCTCTTGTTATGGTCGGTGTATTTGTTAGAGACTAAGGACGGAGTCTATGAAGATTAGGGGGCGAAATATCTCAAAATCGTTGGTTTATAACTTTGGACAGAAATGTCGACTTCCCAAGAAACGCCGTCGACGAAACGTTCACTGCTCAAACTTTATCAAACTCAAATATGATGTAGCCCTAATTCCCAATTTGAATCGCACAAAAATGTAGAGTATATCTTGAGTTATGAATTTCGGCGCACTAGGGGGTACGCTGCCATGGAAACTTAACTCAATCACAGATGTCTCCAAAGTTCACAAGAGGATTAGAGTAGCTAGAAAAAAGGTAGGAGGGGATGAGGAAGAGGAGAGGAAAGGTGTCACAAGATCGAATTCTCAATCGAAACTTGTCACTAAAACTGAATACAAGGCATATTTATACTCAGAAAGTACAAGGATAAACGAGATAAAACGAACCTTCGGGAACACACCCTTCCCGATACTACAATCACAAGTGCGCATAAGCACGCAAGTCTATTGGCACTTGGGATTACGCCCAAATTACACCGTATACACCACTGTCGGCGCTGTCGGTGCCGTATAATAGGTATGTCGGTGGGAAAAGTAGGAAATAAGAGAAATAAATAGAAGGCTCTAGAAAATAGAATAGTAGGCCGATTGAGATGAGATAAAGACCAAAATAAAGAGGAGAAAAGGGAGAATAGGATAACGGAAAAAT